GAAGAGTGGGAAAGTGCGGCGCAGCGTCAGCAAGCGTGCAGCCCGAAAGAGCGCTGGGAAGGAAGAGGCAGACCGCACGCAAGTCACGCGCTCACATACCCGCGCCGGGTACCAACGCCCTACTCAATTTGTGCGCAACACGGCGAGCTTGAGCACCAGCGTCCATAAACTTGTCTAATGCGTAAAACTGTCTAATAATTAACTGTTCCGCTACAATATCACGACTGGCTTTGTAGGCGTTTATGGTATTAGACGGGAGATTAGACTCTCGAGATTCGATAAACCTATAAACGGCCAAATTTATGTGATCGAGTATGTTTGTCGTAGGTTGTTGTATTTGATAGCAAATTTGCCGAACCACTAAATTGTCCAGCGTTTTATCTCGAGTGCCGTATTTGTAAAGCGGGTTAATGCCGAAGCAGGGTTCTATCGTCATAATCAACAGGCGTTATTTTGGCCGCTGTGATGGTAAAAAATGGGCGAACTGCATTGACTCACGTGAGTGCCTTCATTAATCACGGGTTTTGAAATGATTGATTTACTCGGATCAAAAGGGCTATAGGTGACGTTGGGGTCACAGTGTCGGCGTTGAGACGCTTGTGGTCGTCTGAAATGATAATATACTGGGGTTGACATGGTTCTGATTTTCCGGCTTTGAAATAGATTTTTCTCATTTTTACTCGACCGCGTCTATTAACTCGGGTGGGATTTCTATTTTAATTAAATGTTCTACGTCAATGTCGTATTCAGTAATTAGCCTAATTTCATATAAATCAGAGTCGAGTTTAGTCGCTGGGCGGGTGGTGGCTCGTTTTTTAGCGTATGCCTCAGCCTTTTATGCTTACCGTCTACGAGCACCACGTGGTCCATTCCTTCCAGCTCAACACAATTTATGCAGCAGGTGCAAGCGGTGCAACCAAAACATTCGATACAATTGCTGCACTCGTAACAGTCCTCGCAACTGTCCAAGGCATTTGAATTTTGACAGTCTTATGAATTAAAACAAGCCAGGCAATTTATACATCTACCGAAATCGTTGCAAGTGGAGCAGTTACACATCTGGCGCAGTCGTTACATTTGTGGCAATCGTAGCATTCTTTACAATCGGTACAGTGAAACAAACGGTCAGAATTTAAAAAACGAAAACAATCGTACGAATCTACCAAATCGATCGCATTCCTCGTGTCTTTGTAGAAATAACAATTAACGTTTGTTTTATGGTCTACCATATCCTTTTATATAGTTTCTATTTATTTTTCTCATTTTTCTAACAACTTGACAAGTTTTTTATATATTGTTATTCTTTGTATATAGTCCATTTATTTAAGGCGGTTGAGGCTGTGAGAAGTCACGAGTTTAGACCAGGAAAGCGAGGAAATCCCCTTTTTCTTTGTTTGAGGGTCACAGGGTAAATGCACAGACCTGAAGGAGAAAATACAATGGACAGTCAACTGCAGCGGGCGCACCGTGCATTGCGCGTAAACATGTTCCGTCAGCCGGAAGCTCTGGAGTTGCCGGCACAGGAAACTTCCGGTTGACCTTTGTAGCGTTGTTCACGTGCGATGAACGATAGCGACAGGCGCTGCGCTCGTAATTTTGCCTCGGAACTTTTCTTTTCGTGGAAAAACAATCGCAAAATGGACGAGATAGACAACATACAAGTGTGTTATGACATTGTGATAATTATAAGTATACTAACGTGAGCATTATTAACAATTAGTGAGCGTTTAGACAGGGAAAGCTGTGCATGTATTCTTTTCTCATGCACGATCGTGACAATCGGCAAACATGATCGAGTACTCTCAGCCCCACCGACACTACCAGGTCTGGTTGGCTTAGCCCAGCAAAACTTTTTTTCTGACTCGTAAAGCAATTTTTAGAGTTATAAATACTCATCTCAGAGGTGGGGTTGTCGGATTTTTCAATGGGAAAACATAGTAGTAGTACATGTTCCCCCGTTCATATTCAAGTCTTTTAAAATATTTTCAATGCTGGGGCTATGAGCAAATTTGTGTTTTTCTACAAGATTTAAATTTAAGGGACATCGTGTTATATTAGAAAAATGTGTGGGAAACATGAAGGCCCATAGCATAATTTCCCCAATGACTTCGTACATGTACATGCCATACTTCATAAACTGTATGTAATACTAATAGGATCTTTATAAGCTGATTTTATACAGTCTGAATTGTTTTGGGGCCAAAAAAAGTGACAACATGCATCGGCTTGTTAAATTTTCAGGCAGAATATTAATGACGGGTTTCTGGCTTCCCCTGGTCAGAGGAGCAAGCAAAACTTCTAAACATTACTCAAATTGGTTTGTAAACGACCAAATCCCCCAAAATTCCGAATTACAAAGTGTAAATAAACAGATTTACAATGTACACATACAAACATTGTATTTTTTTTCAAGCACCTCATTTATTATATAATAGTTTCAAAGTTGTCTCTATCAATTTTGTCAAATAAAATTGAGAGTTCATTAAAACATCCTGTAAGACGCCTTTCTTTATTAGTTGAATTTGTCCATATTCACGACAGGCTTTTATGTAGGTGGCATAACTGAGGGCAGTGTTATCCCCAAAGATATGGAATAGAGCAGAGTTCTTAAAGATTCTGCAGGTACTCATGTACAACATTATGTGACACAGATGAAATGTGTAATGTGCACTAATCATCATGATACTTGACCTGTGGACTCTGGCATTAATATTGGTGGTTAAAGAACGCCTCCTAAAATCTTCATTCTTTAAAATCAACTACTTCAGTTTTCAAGGAGGTAAGATGAAATGAATGAGGAAATTGCAATATAAAGTAAGCTTGTGATTTCTTTCCTGTAACATAACTTTATTAACACTAAATATTGCTTCGCTGAAGAAAAAATCCACAGTGTGCAAGGCTGGGATCAAGCACAGAACATCCTGCATATACTGTTGAAGTATGTGGCCTGCTAAAGTTTTATGCTCCTTATGGGTGTTGCAAGTGCTGAAAAGATCAGTGTACTCCTTGCAGTCTGCTGTCAGTAGCTGTTGTGTCCTCAACATTGTGGCATCCCTTCGCACATTGTTCAAGTCCATGTGAGCGACCAAGTTAGGGGATGGTGTAAGTGATGCTGGCACAACCTAAAGGAGTGGGATTCAACAAAGTATGAGTGAATAAAAGCTCGCTTGAATGGGGTTCAAACCCAACTTTCTTTTATCGCATTCAAGAATGTATTGCACTTGCATTGTTTTTTTCATTTCAAATGCCAGTTTCGAAGGTGTGACAACATTCTGAACTGTTACAATCCAAGGGTCACCAAAAGACCATTTTTTCTTATTAATTTTTACATGTTTTGTAGTTTTTATTATGTTAATATTATCACCCCACTCTTTGGCACTACTTCTACATGTTTATGATAAGCTGACGATATTTCAACTAAGCTGAAGAAGAAATAAGACTTTGGCATTAAAACCCTAATGTACCGATAGTCACATTTTATGAACTCACCTATCATGCCTACTATAAAACAATGTTATCTTCAGATTTTGACGATTCCTAACTAGGCCGACATGGTGTTGCCTCCATTCTTGTCGTTCGCATTCCGTTCCGCCTCGTCTTTTCGCTGTTTTTGGGCTGGATCTGGCCTCTTCGGTATACCATAGAAACTCAACCCGCCTATTTTTGTCTTTAGGCGCTGCTTTCAGCAACTGCACAATCATTACCTGGAAATTTATGCCATTTTGAGGAGGAAATATCAACACCTCATGCACGCAGCACGATCATGTATACGAACGACAGCAAAACGGAAGTTGTCTGTGCCGGTAACTTCGGCACTTCCGGTTGACGCAAGATCGACGTGCGCCCGCTGGAGTTGGCAGTCCATTGTATTTTCTCCTTCAGGTCTATGGTAAATGCGAGGTCTGTGCAGGCTGGCGCATGTCGCGAGTTGTTGACAAAAAAGTGTGCCGGGGCCAAAGGTCAAGGTGAGTGAAGTGGGAAACCCCGGCGTGGGTGGTGGAAAGGGAGAAACGGGGTGGAAAAGGGGGGTGGGGGTGGCGCAGAACTGTCTTATCCCTACTACTTGGTAGGTGGCAATCCAACAAATCCAAAGATGGGTACTTGCATGAGTCGCTCAAAAATCAACTTGAGGTATCTCAGAATTTAGGCTTGTAATTATAGTAGTCTGACCTTTCAAATGACGCGTATATGAAACGGTCATTTGAAATTACTTAATGTATCTTTACAATTATCTCTGTATTATGGTAGTCAGATCTGCCCAAAGAATTGTATACGGAAGAGTTGTATGAATAAATACTGTATATATCCGAAATATAGTACCAGCGTTTCTATAGCTTTGCAAAAACTAATTGTTGAGTGATAGACACTCTGTGTTGCTTGTGCTCGAAGAATGCACTGAGTTGTGGCTGAGTTGCCTCCTTAATAAACGAAAGTGCAAGTTGATTAAGTATTTCTACCCCTTCCCGTTCTTTGTTACTTGATTGGTGGAGCTGTTGCTATCCGCCTGTATAGCTTGTCGCCGAAGAACGATGTTATCCAAGTTTTGTGCATTATTAGCATGTTCTTTCTTCACAGGTTGGGAGGAGATGGGGGGGCAGAAGGCCGATGGTGCAATAAAAAATAATTTATTCGCGGTTGAGTTGCAAATTAGCAAATAATGCACATTTTCTATCACAAGCGAGAGAGCATGACAGATATTAACATATTAAGGCGAGTTGATAAAGGCTACTAGGTGAGGGTGTGGCAGGCACTGATTGTTTTCAGCGCAGCTACAGCGGACCTTCCAATAGATTGTTATGTAATAGGTATAGCCCGCAATTAAAGTTGTGGCCCCTTACAAAAGCCCTTGCGACCAGTGCGTGGGTTGCTCGGTTTATTGTAGAATCTCTCAAATGTTTTGGTATAGTTTGGAGGTTTCCATTAATAATGCCGTGCATAATAATATCATTGATGTAAGCATTCCAATCAGGTTGAAATGAATCAGCGTATAGTTCTCCAACTATTTGGTCTGAATATAGCTACATGGCACTGCAGTTAATTAACTTTATACAACAAACAGGTTTGACTGATCATCGAGGTACGTTCTGTCTAGTCAGTGTCACTATAACTGTTACTGCGCCACAGTATGTAAACAACTTGAGCACATTATTGGTCGTAACCTTATGGCTCACTTTGATACACATTTCTTACTATCAGATAAACATCATGACTTCAGGCAGGGAAGATAATGTGAAATTCAGATTGCAGGCCTCACCAATAATCTGTGTCAAACACTTGACAAGGTCAGATTCATCTTTGTACATATACATGATGGACTGAAGCTTTTGTTCCCATCAAGGTCCACTAGCTAGCTTAGAAAGCTGGTATCAGACACAACATCAAAGTATTGATTATCATCGATGGTGAAAAATCAGAAAGTTCTCATACAGTTTCTGGCGTTCTACAGGAAACTCTCCTTGGGCCAGTGCTGTTCCTTGCATATCAGTGATTTACCAGATAATGTCAAATTGGATACGAGGCTGTTTGCTGATGATGCACGTGTAGTTTTCTATCAGCAAATAGAAACACAAAAAGATTGCCATGCCCGTCGGGAAGATATCAATTCCCTATGAGCTTGGAAGTCTGTATGGGAAATGAAATTCAATAAACCCAAATGTGTTTCATCATGTCTGTAAGTCACAAGAGGTATCCCCTATTGCTCCAAGAGGTTGACCACTATACATATATCTGGGAGTTGAATTGACTCGTGACCTGACATGGGCAAAGCACATTACCTACACGGTTATTAGTGTCAACAAAATGCTGGGACTGATTAAAAGAAACTTCTGGAACTGCATGCCCCGAGTAAAAGATATAGTCTACAAAACTCTGGTTAGACCAAAATTAGAATGCACTGGCTTAATCTGGGATCCTCATTAAAGTAAATGAAAAATGAACATGGCGGCGGCGCAGCTATGCATTGTGGTAATAAAGAGTGCACTACAGTTGGTCAAATATTAGTAAATAAAACAAGGTGCAAAGGAAATTGCAAATAGAGCAACTGTTTAGGTAGAATGAGTGCAGTGGACACATTGTATACTCGTTAAATGCCCATGCTATTTAATATCTCATTTGATTATGTATGAAATGACATAGGCCTACAATGATTGAACCTTAACCATTCAACAAAGAACTAAAAGGTTACACTTTAGTCCAAAAGACGTATGTAAAACGACTATTGGGGAAAGAATGTAGGCCTAGAATCTTTTTTTATACAATGAAATAGAAAATACTGTTGTTTACGACTACAACTATTGCATATTATTTTCATAACGCTATGATTATAATTTTAGAATTACATGTATGTACCATTTTCAGTTCAATTTTGATAATGTCTACGTATAAAGTAAAATCTGTGTCCAGGCAATATGGAACATGTGGCTGCAGGCAATGTAGCAACATCAGAGTTTTTGAATTTACTTGCATTAAGCCAAGTATTTTCCAACGTAAATGTCCCAAATTTACGTACCCATCCAGCTCCTCAGAAAGTAGTGCTTTTAGATTTTCTGATGAAAAGTTTATTTCATAACTGAATCTGGTAGACATGTAAATATCTGGCAGAATTTAGGGCAACCTTACCATGTATTTCACCCTCGAGAGGAACACATCTGTACCGAAATCTTGGGACGATCATGAATAACACTAATAATCTAACACAAGACGCAGTTTGGCTGAAATATTAGCAATCTACGAGGAAAATTACTGCAGGCTTAATCAATGAGAAATTAATATGCAAAAGATCTGAATGGGACATCCTGATTCAATATTTTCTATCTTGGTATGCATAAACAATTTTTAGATACATTAGTAATAGTCGAGCTGACTTCACTCATAAATCTAAATTTGTTAGCTTCTCTTAGCTTCACAACTTTAAAATGTAGATTTACACAATTCATTTACTTTCACCACAAGAATGTTTTCATCAAAACAAGCAAAAATGAATGAGGTCAAAATTACCATTCAAACACAAAAGAGCTGATTTCTTGGATATAGAGAAAACCAACAAACAATTGTGAAAATCCACTGATAGCATGAAGAGGAGTTAGAAAATATTTGAATTAGTAAAATTGAATTTGAAATTACTCCATTTCATTTCATCATTATTCCATATATAACTCAATTTTGATCAAAGACATTTACATGTGTTTGTGTGATGCAGGTTAAAATTTGTCACTGTGAATCTGTGACTGACAATTTGAAAAGTGAATAACATTAGTGTGCAAGGATTACTTGCAAAGTGAGAACCCTTTCAGAATCCTCCATGTACATCTACATTACACTACAACAAAGATATCTATACCAAAAACATCTACATTATACTTTGAGGTGTACAGTTTTCAAAGTTATCATTGGCAGAAAATGTAACCATCAAAACTTGAAAATGAACATGCCTATTTTTTTTTCAAGGTAAGAATCTTTCTGAATTATCAAAAACATTTCTAAATAATGACAACCTATACTACACTTTAAGGTACCAGTACAAAGTTTTCAGTATAAAAATCATCAAGATTGGAAATTTCATGCAAGTGGATGCAATTAGTTAATCTCTTCAATCATCTGATACCTTGCAGAATTATGAAAAATAAAAGAACATCAAACCCATTTACAGTGCCGGTACATCGTACTTTGAGATGCAGAATTTTCAAAGTTGTCATACGTACCGCATAACAGTCGACATATGAAAATTCGGAACAATTAAAGCTCTAATTGATGTAATTAATGCTATAAGTTTTCAAAAGGTGAGATTTTTCCTGAGCTTCAACAATTCATCACTGTGCTGGAACAAATGGAAAAATGTGGAAATCCACAAAATGTTCAAAGTATTTGGAAATTAAGTGCAACTGGATGCAATTGGCTTATACAGATTTTTCACACATTTGACAAATTGCAAAATCTGAGAAATGAAGAACAACCCCATTTACAGTGCCAGAACATCATACTTTGAGGTGCAGAATATTCAAAGTTGTCCTCTGCACTACACAACAGTCAACATATGAAAATTCAGAACAGTTAGAGCTCTAATTGATGTAATTAATGCTATCATAATTCAAAGATAACACTTTTTCTGAGCTTCAACAATGTATCACTGTGCTGGAACAAATGGCATAATTGGGAATCTGGCCCCATGTCAAGTAAACAGAGACTGGAATCTTCTTTCCTCAATCCTGACAAACCTCCAGCTCACTTTTGAAGGAGGGCTAAGGGCCCATTCACACAGCCAGCAATACAGGGAATTTGGCAAGTTAAAATCATTGAACACATTATGACTGTTTAACACTAGGAACAGACAAATAACTTGATAGAGGGTGTTTGAACTCTTGTAGTTACATGTACACACCAGAGCCATTCATCAAAGATCTCAGAAAGTGTGTTTTTTCCAACAGGTGGTTCAATTAGCTATGTCATCATAAAAGCATCACTGTGGGACTGCTGCTGTTTGAAAGTAACATAAAACTTTTCAATAGTACGGTATGTTGTGTGATATAGCCCTTTCCAAAACTGTATCAGTGGGCCCTATGTGAACCATCCGATCAAAATTCCATACTTTGCTACAGCATAAAGACAACAGGTCTTGATTCAAAAGCGAATTGCTTACAAATAAAATGACAGTGTACATGTAATACTGCTTACATCTTCCCCAGACACCTCTGCAGTGGGAAATCCACTAAATCAAATCACAATTCTGGAAGACAGATGACACACAAAATTAACAGTTCTCAAGTCATATCCCTGTAAACGTGCACAAAAAGAATATGAGGTATATATACTTTGAATAATTTCCAGTACATACTAACTCAGCCATGATCCAAAATAGAATTTGGAAATTTAACAATATCTTTCTTTGTTCTAGTACTCTCATATCAGTGAAAATACCAAAAAAATACTGTGTAAAATATGCGCCTAGGATGCACTGATTGATCATATGTTGCAAAATGACACTGCAAAGCAGCATATATGGGGTGGGGGCTTAACCACTTCTCGCCAGGGACCCTGGTTTCGGGCACTGTGTGTTTATACACGGAGCTGTGGTGCCCGGTTTCGGACAAAATAGCTGGTCTCTGTAACAAAAGACTGTACTCTGAACAAAGGACCTGCTGCTGGGAATTGCCATCATTTTTAGACTTGCATTTTTTGAAGGTAATCCAGCACTGTTTTGAAACTACTACAAATTTATTTGTTGCTCTTCTCATCCTGAATTGACTGACTGCCTGGTTACTGAGTCAACATGCTTTCCATACGCCAAAGCAAGACAACTCCGAAAAAGGAACAGGACCAGTATCCAATCTGTGCACATTCTTGCCCTCTTGAGACCAACATCAGTCCAGCTGCTACATAAGTAATCTTTGCTTTGGTGAAGATTTTGTGTACGCATGTATTAGCTTACCAGGGTCATGTGTCCCATGCTATGAATATGAATAATGAGATAGCTACCAGATACAGTAGATTTGTATAGTCACAGAAATGTCCAATGATTTGATGCCAAGCACATGAATGCATCAACAAGTACAGCAAACTCTGACTAAGTCAGCATCACGTAACTGTTCATATCGTCTAAGTCGGCCTTTGGACAAAAGTCCTGATTGTCTGTAATGTATTTCCATTGAAAATTTCATTTCTAATTTGGCATTTTGAGTTGTCATTTCGTATAAGTCAGCATGTTTTTCTCTGTCTCTTTTCCACAAAACCACAAAAATTCCTTTGTGTAAGTCGCCATTTAAAAAAAAAGTGCTTCGGTATCAGTTTCCTTCGCTGCAGTTGCCAACAAGTGTCAAGTTACAAGTCCCACACTGCTTGACTGATGTCTGTTTATCAGCAGCACAGGTCGTGGTTGATAATTGGCCAGCATGAGTACATCAATACCCGTAACCCCTCTAGTGCTATATGCATGCATTCTGTCCATTTTGGGGCTGTCTTATTGAACGTAGTCTGGTTCCCTGCCAAAAGATTCCCTGACGACCTTGATAATGATTTGTCGGGTAGTCAGAATCATTGGGTCTGGTATCCAGACTATATTGAACAAACTTAACTAATGCGTGTGTGTGGATGAGTGTATGTTTTCTGTACCGTAACTGTATCATGTAAATACGTACTGCACTGTCAAGTTGTGATGTGAATACGCAAGTGGCTTGCCGTCCTTGCTTCATCCTTAGGAGCACATGATCAATTATCGAATTTGCAGCCCGTGAGGATACTAATTGAGAACGAATTTGCTGGGATCGACCATGGAGGTAGAAATTAACCAAGGTAAATCAAAGCCGTTGAATTAGTGCAAGGAATCATAATGTACATGGGCAATACATGTGTACATGTAAGTCGGCAACATGACGACTTACAGTAAAAGTCGGCATTCACGTAAGTTGTCATAATTTCTTGAGTCCTGAGAGTGCTGCCTTAGCCGGAGTTCACTGTATGTGGCTTTTACAAAATTCATCATACAGATACTTTTGCAGTGCATTAGCCATCCAAAAACATCTGTTGCAACCCCTTTGTATTATTTGTACCTTCTCTGTTGGCATTAAAAAGTGGACTCAGGCATGACAGGAAAAAGAATAAATGCTTTGCTGATATTTTAGCCTCGACAATGTCAGCTGGCTTGGTCCCTCTGTGTAGTGGAAAAAGCATATCTTTGGCAGTAAAAGGCAGTGTCAATGGGCCATGCAGTGATCCAATGCTGACCAAAAATCAGCATCTTTTAGTAAAATTATCTCCTTTACAGATTCTCTTTTGACCTTACAGCAACACTGCGATAAAGACAACTATGATAGAAATAGACAGAACAACCTTGAACAGCAGTGATGAGGTCCAACTTGTCTGGCTGGTCTCTTGCAGGGCTCTGCCATAGCCTAGTTGTCGCAGATGGGCCACAGAGTCCTCCAAGCCACGTGGGACTGGCTGGTAGCCTAGCTGTTGCTGTGCCTTCTGGTAGCTAACAGTGTGGTGTAGGGCCAGCTGGTAAACCTGAGTCAAATGAAAATAAACTAACTCTGTGCTTCATAATTCACAAAGTCCAACAAAAGTTCAAGTGTGCGGTGTACTTAACCTGCACAATTTTTTTGGGAAAATATGAAAATGCCAGCATTAGGTCTCAATAATTGTCAATGTGGAGTTGCAATGTTATAAAACTTAAACGTAGAGGATTCAAAATTGTTACTGCTATTGTGCTTCAGGAAGCACAGATATATCAGCCGTGAACAGCTTTTGGAAATGTTGAAGGTGCATACAAGGTGACTCCTGGCAAGTCCGACCATACATGTCATTACTCCTGCTGATGCAAATTGTGTATAGTATGGTTCGGGGAACAAGCTTTTCACAGAATTCTCTACATATTAGAGGTATGGACCAGATTCAATTTTTCCATCACTGCACACATGACTGTTGGGAATACCAAAGTAATAGCGTCACCAAATCTGCCTATTTAAAGTAGTACATACATGTACTATGTGCAACACACGTTGGCCAGTGGGCAGTTAGCATAATATATGTTGCTGTGTGAGGCCACTACATACATGTACATGATGACGCTCAGCTGAATAATTTAGTAGGCCTACATTAATATGTTTGATCTAAACTGAGTGACCTCCATGGACCACCATGTGACCACTGGCTGAATTCTGTGTAAACCGTACATAAGGCTTGCTGTAGAGATGAAATCGATCAAGTTTTACTTTTGGAGAAACAATAGAAGAATGTTTTGAAAAAACGACCCCCACTGACCATTAGGTGACCATTGGGCGAATTCTGTTAACCACCCACTGGGTGACCCTTGACTCTGTACACTGGTCAATTAGGACAGGAAGGTTATGGAAGGAAAATTATGTCCAGATGTGGCTGAAATCAGCAAAGGAAGGTGGCAGATATTGATAGATATAGCAAAACTGGTAAGTATTCCGCCATGCAATGAAAGAAAATGATCCCTGATGACAATTAGGTGACCAATGGTCCAATTCTGTAAACATCCAATCTGAGGCTTGTTCTAAAGCTGTAAATAATCAAGTTTGACAGTAGTTCGACCAAGACTGTGGGAGGAACATTTTGTTATTTCGAAGAAAATGACCACTGCCGACCACTACGTGACCACTGGCTAACTTTGTGAACAGCTTTTATGAGGCTTGGTCCAGAGATGCCACAGACCAGGTTTGACAATAATTGGACCGAGGTTGTGGAAGAAGAAGCTTTTTGTAACCTTGAAGAAAATGATCACTAGTGACTACTGGCTAAACATGCCACTACACTACACATGAAACTCTGGCCAAGCTAGATTATGTCCAAATCTGGCCGAAATCTGTGAATGAATTTGGAAGATACTGCTTTTTTGTGAGCGTTTGACCAAAGAAAGAAAGGAGAGAATGACTTTAGACTTTTCAAATGGAAACTTTATTTCATTCCATTGATTGAACAAACGTACAATAACTTAAACAAAACAAATTATTTATTTATTTATTTAGGCGAAGACGGCGAAGAGGAAGGTCAATGAGGCAGAAAGGAGAGCGGATTCTCGAAGGGGCTACGCAAAGATCTTTGGCTTCCAGCCAGCATCCGGTGGAAGGGTGCAGAAGAGGACGAACGATCTTGATCCCGCACGACAGGAGCTGCCAAATGGAATTCTCATCGTCAGCTGATTGAGCCAAAAGGTTTACTCACTACAAGCCAGGACGAACCAACCAAGATGCTTATGCCCTCTCTTGACGACCTGCTGAGGGCTCTGGGGATGACTACTTGCAGGATCAACATGAAAAGATTAGTGTTCTTGAAACTCGCATGTGAGGGGAGGAAAAAACCTTTGACTAGACCTATGGTAGGGAGATAATTAACCACTTGGTGCCGGGGAATTTTTCAATGTTGATGATGCTGGGCCGGCATGACTATCATTTTTTCCATTTTCAAAATCCTTAAAAAATTCATCATTTCATTTAACTGTCATTTATAGCCG